TGTTATGTTATGTTATGTTATGTTATTTTTATGTTATGCTATGTTATGTTATGTTATGTTATGTTATGTTATGTTATGTTATCTTATTCATTCATACTGCTTATAAGAAGTTCTAAAAAAACGAAGGTGTCGTTATCAGCTTCCTCTCTCTACTTTCAGAACCTTTTTTCCGTTTGCTTTAACACTTTGGCAGTATACATGTACTCTTGTCTGATGTCCTACAGTTGTCCTGCCCTATGACCGTAGGATTTAGCCGCTGTGGGTCAGTTAGTTGCTAGCTGGACCAGCCTGCTGACGGTTTAGGTTCGAATCTGAGAGAAGGCTCCGAATGTTTTGTCGTTCGAGGAATATTTCCCCTGTACCCAATATTCTTTCAGGGACCAAAGCGTTATATTTTTGGAAGGCACTCCTGAGCACAACAGGGTCAGAAATGTATTGTTTCCCTTCCTGGAAGGATTTCCCATTCCACAGTCAGTTGTTCAGTGTTGGTACCTCAGGTGAAAGTGTTGGATAAACTCTGCAGTCTGTCGATGTGTTTTTCTTTTTACCATTTTTCACAATCATACCCTGTGACATGCATTTTTTTCGAAAGGAACTTGTTTTAATTAAGAGGAGGCAAAAAAATCGTGTATATATTTATATTCCGATTTTCAGTTTTGGCATTTATGTGTATACACACTAAACTCAAATGGACAAACACAGATTTTAATCTTTATAGATTATTTTTCAAGAAGATAGACTGAAAACTGTCCTTGAAATGGTTGCTAGGATGATTAATTATAAATTGTTGTTGCTCACTGTTGCAAATTTTGTTTTAGCTTTCCTGTACAGCCGAGAAATATTTCCCACAGGGAGAATAAAGTATTATGTATGTTATGTATGTTATGCTATGTTATGTTATGTTATGTTATGTAATGTTATGTTATGTTATGTTATGTTATGTTATGTTATGTTATGTTATGTTATGTTATCTTATTCATTCTTACTGCTTATAAGAAGTTCTATAAAATCGAAGGTGTCGTTATCAGCTTCCTCTCTCTACTTTCAGAACCTTTTTCTCGTTTGCTTTAACACTTTGGCAGTATACATATACTCTTGTCTGATGCCCTACAGTTGTCCTGCCCTATGACCGTAGGATTTAGCCGCCGTGGGTCAGGTAGTTGCTAGCTGGACCAGCCTGCTGACGGTTTAGGTTCGAATCTAAGAGAAGGCTCCGAATGTTTTGTCCTTCGAGGAATATTTCCCCTGTACCCTAGATGGTCAGAGATCCCAATGTTCTTTCAGGGACCAAAGCGTTCTATTTTTGGAAGGCACTCCTGAGCACAAGGGCGGCAGTAACGACAACAGCAGTTTCTTCAACAACAACAACAACAACAACATCAACAACACAACAACAACAACAACAACCACAACATCAACAACAACAACAACAATAATAATGATGATGATAATAATAATAATAATAATAATAATAATAATAATAATAATAATAATAATAATAACAATAATAACAATAATAATAATAATAATAACATCAATAGTAAGAATAACCACAACAACTAGAGCAATCTGTAACATGCAGCAACAATATCAATCAGCTTTTTTCTCATCTAAGACAAATATATATGAATTTTTTTTCTCTTGCTGAACATTGAGCACGTCATGTCTACTCAGTTTATCGAGAGATAAGTAACACATTACTCTGACGGGTCGAAATGAAGTATTGGGTCACCCCAAAACGGTAGTCTGTCTTGTGGATAAAAAGATAGAATACGTTCTTCAAATTTTATCCAAATACATTTACCCGTTGCTTAAATGTGGGCGACAATCAATTACAATTATTACACTCTTCATATTTCACTGCCCAGAATCTATGATGCAGTTGGTCGCATTTAAGAACAAGCGGGCTAACCCAGATTCCGGGGGTTTCCAGAAATCTTGACCTACACCAGAAGTGAGCATTGCACTTCCTATAGGAGAAGTTTGATTTCATTGGTGTGTATATTTGTTAGGGTATAGAGAAAACTCTCCTTGTCTTTTATAGAAACTGAACAAGGGGCAAAAACTTTATCTTCGATTTTCTCAAAACAGCATTTTTCGGGATAGCCCCCTTGTGCTTAAAAGCGACCAATTTGATGCAGCTGAAGAGTTTCTTATGAAAGGAGACGCCAGGAATACACAGAGCCACCTACAATTCCGTCATGAAGTGTGACAAAGACACATGGGTGAGCTTGTATGCCAACACTATAATTTATAATCATGTCCTGTGGTTGCACCATATACCCACATTTTGCTGACAGGATGCTGAGGGAGATAAGTGCTTTGGCCCCTAGCACAATGAAAATCAAGGTTATCGTTCCTCCTTTCAGGGATACAATAATATTTGTACAGGTACTTACAATTCTTCAGCCACAAGGAAGATGGTTAAAAATGTAAATCTTTAAAGGCTAGTGGAAAGTAGCGCTTAAAATTCTACCCCTTTTTCCCCCACCATAGGGTTGTCAACTGAAACACGGGATCTTCTGCAAAGAATAAAACTGACCTTTGATTCTCTACTTCATGACTCCACAACTTTATCAACAAGAATGTTTGGGTTTACAAATGTATTTGTGGCAAAATTTTAGCTTACTGAATGGAAATATACATATATTTGTATATATTGTTATATTTATATATTATTATAAAAAATGAAAGCTGGGGCTCAATATCCGAATTGGTCTCTATATCTGAAGAGAATGACACATTTTTAAGGAAGCAGTCCACGTACTTAATAGACTGAAAAACCGACTGGAACATTTTGTTCCCTGACGAAAAACAATGTTGCAAGTTATTGACTGCAGTTTTGAAATGACATTTCCTGTTCTATTGCAGTTTTGGATGCTTTCATGAAAAAAAAATGTTGGTCAAGTTTTCAGGGCGAAAAGATACTGAAGAATTCAAAGGAGACATAAAGTCATTGGCTTTGTGCCCGAACCGAAAAAACCACATCTCCGGCAAGTGAGAAACATCACTTCAAAGTTTCAGTACAATAAAACTGGGCGACTAAAAAGAATGAATACCCATTTAAAGGGCAATAACTCTGTCACTTTCTCCTCCCCATATTTCTCCGAAACTTTCCCACCAAGAGGAGATACCCATCTGATGTGACTCTCTTCATTGTTTTATCGTTTCCTTCCCGAACGCAAAACGGACCGATCACACCTCTTCACCTGTGTACCTGAACACTTTTATACAACTCCTTCTCTGCCTGTCCACAGACTGTCTCGGCCTGTCTGGTTGGACAACGAATAGAAGTGATTTTGTGTGTGATATAAATATTAGCATTAGCAGTGGTAAAAGCACGTACACCAGTCTTTGTGGCTTGACATCCGTTTGTACGTGTGGAAGGGGGGGGGGGGTGGTGTTGACATATCCCTTATCCCTAATAAATAATCACTTTACACCCTGCTCCAACCCTGCATACCTCGCCCTATACTCTACCTAACACCCATACCCTACTCAATCCCAACCTCCATCCCCTACCCATCTCACCGCTGACTCTCCACCGACGCATCGGTAATAATTTCATTGGCTGTGGTACAACAACTGCTCTGCCCTCAAAGGGCACATTAAAGTTCGTAGTTGCAAAAACTCACGTTTCCTTAGATATCGTCGAACATAAAAAGTAAAAGAAATTGTTCATATTATGTGCTTTGTTCATTTTCATACGCGATGCCTAGCCACAGGAGCGTAACTCCAACTGACTGCACTTTGCGACATAATCATGGACACTTAAATTGGTAGATCACGATCTTAACAATAATAGTATGTACTCGTTTGGTCAGTTTTGTTCTTACTGGCTTTATTTCGGCATATTTAGATTTGTTGTTGTTGTTTTTTAAAATACATTTTGAGGTAGATGATAGGTTTTTCTGCCCATAATCTTACTAAGTTCGAGCGGCTGAGAGAGAAAAAAAGAGTTTGAGAGTGTGGAAGGGAGGGTAGTGATTAATAAACACATAGGTCGTCTCTACGAGATCAGCTCACTATCGTTTACACTGTGAGGTCGATAGTGTTTGCAGTTTTGAGGGGACAACGACGTAACCAACCAGTTACTTCAAATATAAAAGTACCATTCATCGATTTGTATGTTTGTAACCTGAAATGAGGTGCCTGAATGCGATCTTATTTCTAGGCCTGCTCCATAACTCAATTTTTGGGTCTGTCTTAGAGGGAAGAAATAAAGTTTGTGTTTTACCCAATTTTGATTGACATTTTTAAAGCTTGATTTTTTTCCAAACGTATCAGATGATCTTCTTCATATCTACAAACTTGGTTTTCCCCTAGTTGAATTTTATTTGTTAGATGTAATGCTAGAATTGGTGCAGAACAACCTCTCGAGAGATGACCGAGTTGTTGTCTTTAAAGTGGGTCCTCTTGTCTTTTTGGACACCCTATACAATGAAATTACTTCCGGCCTACGTCTTCATCGGGAGCTAAAGTGTCCATGTCCAGCTCTGTCTAAAATGTAAAGCTCTATGAAATTCTTTGGCATATCTTTTTCCTTCAGTGAATTTCGTTGGTAAAGAAAGTCCCACAATGATAAATACCATGCTTGTAAGAAAAAAATCTTCTAGAGCCCTCTTTTCCCAACTTGCTTGATCCACCATGCACATCTGGTTTCTCGACTCTTAGTGGAGTCACGTAACGCAAGAAAGAGACGCCTTTTATTCTTTTAAGAATAATGGCTCAAGTAGACTTTTGCCACATTCTCAGGGTATTATATTTCCTATTCAGAGAATTTGCTTTGTAAAACTTTAGTAGGCCTAAAAGGTTTAACAAAATGAGATACACCCGAAACAAATCTGATCCATATGAACAGCACATATATGACTCTATACGATTGAGAAATCGCTTTGTTCGTTTGTTCATTTTGACGTGGAAAGTAAAACTATCAGTACAAAACGCCTTTAAAAATGGGAAAAGTAGGACATAAAGCTAATCCTGCCACATTTACGTTAACCTCAAATAAAACGAATAAAAGCATATTATTATCGATGTGATTAAGAAAAACCGTTAAACAATCGTAGGTGAAGCAAAAAGCAGGACTAGAGTTCGATGTGGAAAGTTATCTGCCAATAGTGAATACTGAAACGGGAGCGTGATGACTTGGATTGTTGGAGAAAATAGGACCAAGGAATACTTTACACAAGCGACTACACCTCGTTTCAGAGTTATTTGCCTGGCTATTGTTAAAAGACGACATCAAAGGGTAGGCAATTTTCTGGTGTTGACGGTAACCACGATTCTGCGTTGTTCAGGACTTCATCACGCTTCATGGGCAGAGCAGGTCTCTGTTGTTGTCGAAAGTTGCAAAGAGAGCCTGTGAGGGTTTTCATTTCCTGGTAAGAAATTAATGAAATTACATACAGCATGTTCTAGGCAAACGGTGTGGCTGTTGCAGTCTCGGGGCGGCGAAAAGCGCTGAATTGAGGCCAGTTGCGGTCTTGTGTCCACCATCCAAAGCAGAAATGCCTCGGTTTTT